CTTCATGAATTACCTCATCCATCGCAATCAACCAGGGGAAGAGCCGAGATCCATCATCCACGGCAGAAATCGAACCCTAGCCGCCGCCCGAATCTACAAACAACAACACCGCATCAGATGGCAAATAACCATTAGCTAAGAACAGAACTGGAAGCAATCCATCCTCTGATTATATACATGTCATGCCCGTTTATACATACACAAATATAAGCAAAATAAGGCAAAAATGCATTGCTTGCTTCACACATGCACAAGGCATATGTTTCACCCTCCCCACTCTTCTACTCACTCTCTAACATAAGTATGTGTATATACCTTCATCGTCATTGATGTATATCAGGTAGCACCTCCTTGCCGCTTTCATACCATAGTTGTTATTATAGTCCTAGAAAGAGTAAGAACACACTAATACATTTACTCATACTTACACAGAAGAAAGTTAGATGTAAACATATATTATCATTTGTGTATGTAGTTGCTACCGGAGTCTTAAAAAGAGTGGAATCAGTGTGAGCTGAGAGAATGGACCAAAACAAATTTATTATCTACCAAATGTCATCAAACAAAAATTAGTTGGTTTGAAACAAGGATGAAGAAAACAATTTTATTTCTTTTAGTAGCAATAATTTTCAAAAAAAATGCAAACTCACCGGCCACATACGCACAGCGGGGTTATGTTGTTGCCCATCCAATAGAAAAGAAAGGGTATCCGTCCTTCTGTAGGAATCTGAGAGGCACACACAAGTTGTTCCAAGTTGTCATGACCAAAGACATAGTATATATAAGACCAAAAGAAGTAGACCAACAATCTTGAGACATCTCATATTCAAATGCATATTCAGAAAGACCTACCATGCAACCAATTCATCTCCTAGCACTGGATAGGAACAAAAACTTCCTTTCGAAAGAGAAAGGACACAACCTCAGGCCAAATCGGTCCTCCTTGACAGAAAAAAAAGAGGCGCCTAACAAGATAAGAAAGGCAACAAAAGCTACTGTGCTGAATCCCCACCTATCAAGTGCACTCACTTAATCATATTGTATGTCACTAATCAACCAATCAACTGGAATTAATAACGTAATGAGCCATTGCCCTTTTTTGTAAGCAAATATCAGCCCTATATCTGTGAAAAGTAGTAGGCACCATAGTAAACATCTATGATGATAACCATACACGTATTACATCCATGGGTATGTACAGACCGTAAACATAGATCATATGGACAAGATACATGAACAGAAAGGGAAAGGGGATGAACCTGGATAATTGAAGCACAAAGAAGGTCGAAATATCGAAGGCAAGAGTAACCCTGCAATGAAACCAGCTAAGTAGATCGGGATAAATCAACCAACTGTTGTGGTTGGATCTGAGGGACAGCTCCGGTGCTCGGCAGATTCAGTCCTGCCATTGAAAACATGAGAACTTTTCAAACTGAACTGAGGAAAAATGGTTGTTTATGTAAATTTGCCATCTACTTACTGATGGAGTACAACAATATTCAGTTAATGAGACATTAAAAGAACTTATTTTCATACTATAAAGATTCTTTGTGAAACTAACTTCTAAAGGCAAGTATCTGACAATTGTTGGCTGCGCCATATTACAATTTTTCTTCTGGACAATACCATGTTGTTCCAACAAAACCAAAAGAACTGTATATAGATCATTTTGTTAAGACAACCTTGCCATACAAGTATACAACACCAGAAAGGCCTAAGATTTTAACAAAATCAATCAAATCAAAAGGGAGTGAACCATCGAATCAAAGCCGGATGGATGAAGTGGCGCCAAGCTTCTGGCATTCTCTGTGACAAGAGAGTGCCACAAAAGCTAAAAGGCAAGTTCTACAGGACGGCGGTTCGACCCGCAATGTTGTATGGCGCGGAGTGTTGGCCGACTAAAAGGCGACATGTTCAACAGTTAGGTGTGGCGGAGATGCGTATGTTGAGATGGATGTGTGGCCACACGAGGAAGGATCGAGTCCGGAATGATGATATACGAGATAGAGTTGGGGTAGCACCAATTGAGGAGAAGCTTGTCCAACATCGTTTGAGATGGTTTGGGCATATTCAGCGCAGGCCTCCAGAAGCTCCAGTGCATAGCGGACGGCTAAAGCGTGCGGAGAATGTCAAGAGAGGGCGGGGTCGACCGATTTTGACATGGGAGGAGTCCGTTAAGAGAGACCTGAAGGATTGGAGTATCGACAAAGAGCTAGCTATGGACAGGGGTGCGTGGAAGCTTGCTATCCATGTGCCAGAGCCATGAGTTGGTTGCGAGATCTTATGGGTTTCACCTCTAGCCTACCCCAACTTGTTTGGGACTAAAGGCTTTGTTGTTGTTGTTGTTGTAATCAAATCAAAAGGGAGAGTTGTTTCTAATTAAGCAAAACACTGAACCAGTCCAGACTTTCTCAAATTTCTAGTTTGAAGTGGTTCCATTCGTAGAGCCATGCCACACAGGGATAATAAAAGGCAGAAAATCAATAAACAAAAGTATAACCTGCCCCAATACATACACAATTATAGCACTACAAACTTATTGACGTCCTAAGCGGCTACTGAGGCCTATGTTTTTAAAGCGTCCCTAAGGCGACGCCTAGGCGTCGAAGTGCTCCCCCTCCGCTTTGGAAAATCGACCGCTTTGGGCGCCTAGGCGTCCAAAGCGCCCGCCTAGGCGTCGCTTAGGTGCCAAAGCGCCCCCCTCCCTAAGGCGGTAAGGCGTCGCCTTAAAAACATAGATTGAGGCATACACCAAGTCCAACATACAAAACTGCAAGTGTCTTTTCTTTTCATTGACATAAAAACCTTCATTATCTCAACCAAACCAAAATAAAACAAAAATTATCTCACTATCTTTCTCTAGCTTACAACATAATTATATTGTTAAACATTTTTTCATCACATTTTTCTCTAGTTGTTGTTCCCATAAGGTGTGGGCCGGGAGGCTCACCTTTTTACTATATATGACTCTCACATCGCAGTGCCTATGGGAGACGCAACGTGTCGGTCAGGCTCTTCTCTTCCTCACCCTTCTCCCTCTATGCTTCCTCCTCTTCCTGCTTTCTCTGGCCGGCATCAAACACTATAGTCATTTCTTGCTTTTGCTTTACTCAGAAGAGCCAATGGGAAGATGAACAATAATAAGCATGAATGTCTAAAAGGCATATATGATATGAGATCACAGGCAGAAGAAAGCAATGGGGAGGGAGACAATTACCTAGCCAGTTTGCTTGCAAGGTAAAGGATGGGCTTCTCAAAGTTGTAGTCGCTTTTGGCAGAAATTGCATACTACTAAAAACCTTGTTACTGCAGACAACCACGGGAATGTTCTCACACACCGTGCAAGAGTTATACATCAGAACTCCAAAGCACAATACCTGCAACAAACATGATTTATTCAGAGCAAACATGCACATGTCCACGCGCCTCTATTTCTTCTCCTAAACAGATGTAGGCAAAGTTAGAATCATATTGGCTTGGCAATGTCCAACCAATCCCTGCAGAACAGTGAAAAGAAAATAATTGGGCGATTAGATAAAAGTTGAATTTATTAGATCCAGCATATACACAAAAGCACCAAGAGGCAATCATATCATGATATACAAGCCAATAGATAGTGCCAATGCAATAGATAGTTAAATTAACATGATGCTGGGAAGAGATGTGTACAAATATGATGTGTCCTTTGAATCTGAGTACAGAACCTAAGCAAGCACATGATCCTCTCTCTACCTATCTCTCTGAACCCAAAATCTTGACCCTAATCCACTGCACACAATAGAAATTTACTTAGGGGAGCAGCTGACTTCCACACTCTAGTCTGCACAACATTCCTGTCACTCAAATCTATGATAAGTATTGGATCAGGGGACCAAGACGTGGATTACCTGAGGCGGAAACACTTTGTGGGATGGAGAGGCAGCACGAACACCAGTCTGCATCTGCAAGCTGCACACGGGCATATGGTGGAGCAGGAGGACGAGCTTCTCGTCCTGGATTGAGGCACGGCAGCGACGGCGCCGCAGATGGCTAGACCTCCTGCTCCTCCCGCCCACGACTATGCCGCGGACAGCTCTGCCACCTTGCTATCCACGCGGCCCACGCTTGATCCTGGACGGCCTCGAGGAGGAGGAGGAGGAAGGCGGCGCAGAGGAGCGGCGGCCGACTGGGCGCGCGGAGGAGAAGGCGGCGACATGGGGTGCACGAGGACGGCGAAGGCCCACGCTCCTCTCACCCAACTCCTCCGGTGAAGGGAGAGCGCCAGCCGGCGGCTCGAGGGGAGGTGCGACGGGGACGGGGGGCGGAGCGGCGGCCTGAGTTCGACGGTGGGGAAGAGAAGACGTCGTGCGGCGGTCGGGAGCGCCGCCAGGAAGGGGAGCGGGGAGGAGGACGAGTGGGAGAGGAGGGGAGGGGAGGCGCGCGGGAGGGGAGAGGAGGAGGTGGCGAGGCGGGAGGAGCTGGGCGCGGGGGAGGCGCGAGTGCGGAAGGGAGGATGCGGCTAGGTCATCGCGAAATGACCAAATGCCCTGGTGGGGGCATGAATTTTACATTATGTTGCCATTGAATTTTTATCCGATGGCCGAGGTTGATCGGGTAAATATCCAACGACCCACAGCGATTTGGATCGAGATCCGACGGCCTGTATCGCGAGGAGATTTCGATCCGATGGTCCAGAATCCAAACACACGGGGAGGCTTCATTTTGCTTCGGACTCTAACAAGGGGATAGTACCAGAGAGGAATGCCATGAATGAGCCAAGATTTCTAGAGAAAGAGACCTGAGACAAGTTTTCTTGCCGTCAAACACTAAAGTTATTATGCCATGAAGTAGTAACCAAACTGATACGGTAAAAACTAAAAATAACATCAAGACGCAAACACAAATCGTCACAATATCATGGTAACACGTACAAGCTGAAACATTGTTAACTGAACATGGATTGAAATTTAGCAGTCTGCATAATTAGTTGCACATATGATACCTTTACCTCTTAAACAGAACTAGCCACCACGGGACACCATGTCCAGTAACTCCTTCATGAGCAAAGGACAGCTTGCTACCAAATGCTCGAAACCATCGGTTGCCATAACAGCTTGTAGAACATTCCGTGGAGCGATAAACTCAACACATGCTTCTTTGAGATCCTTGCAATGGTGTTGCACTTGCTCTGCTAAAACCAATGTTGTTGCAACAGTCTCCACGTCAATGCGCTCAGACAATTTACTTTCGCACATCCCATTTAACCTATCCAATCCATATCGATCCGAGGCAACTAGCAGATGCTGCATTTTTGCAATTTCACCTTCTCTGTGGTGCTCATTGACTAGCAGGGAATCTGTGTATATGAAGTGAAGAAGCGCCTCAAAGATTTTAGGGTCGATGTCATCAATTTTGATACACTGTGTTTCTTTCTCCTTCATAGGACCAAAGAGCTCCGCCTTGAAAACCAGAGACCGTGCAGCCAACAAGCATCTGTGAGCTTTGAACAATTGGCCACTCACACTGAATGTCACATCTGCTCCCTGTCCATCCTTCCACATTTGGCAGAGTTGGCCTTGCATATTAGGTTGCGGAACCACAACAGTGTTCCTCTTAACCTCGGTGCAAGGTTCTTTTATCACGGTGAGAACACAACGTATAATGAAGAAGCCATTGTTGGCTTGCGACGATGATTTCAGTTTCGCTTTGGCAACGAATCTGAAGTAGCCCCAATATGACTTTGCTGAGGAAAAGACATGATTTATCTCATTATATTTAGTTAATTGTGCCTCGCCGTCTTTCTCTAGCATGTTTAAGGTGAACTTAGTCCTGACATTATAAGTGTCATTCTGTTGGATGACACGGTCAAGAAAGACTGATGTATAGTCAGCGTAGTCTGCCATCCTCCCATCCGGGAAGAAATTGATAAACCATTCGAAGCCACCCACGCTGAAGTTGCTTGAGCTGACGTGCTTGCCGATGCCAATGCCATCCAGCAACCGGTAATTGGCCACCTCAAAATCATGCACCGCAGTGACACCCTCCGTCAAGCATGTGGACGATGTCTTGGGTAGCTGGCCATGGCTAACTTCAGAGGTGGAATTGTTGGCCATGGTGAACAAAAATGCAACAGGTGTTGCAGGCTTGCGAAGAAGACAGAAACTTCCTCTGACAACAGGAGTAGCAAATATGAGCCTTATACTGAGAGATCAACAGGTTACAACCGGCGAAATCGGACCTTGAACGAAACACAGCCCAGATTTGAATCCGATGACAATGAGATCTCAACACCAAACATGCCACCATTTGGCTGATGCATAGCAGCTTACCATCTACAAAAGCTGAGGAAATTCAAATCAGGAAAAATATTTAAGATCTGAACCAAGGCTACCCAACACTAAAGATGGTTCACGGCGAACGGGCAGCGGCGCACCATGGTAGAGAAGGCGACGGAGCTGCGGGAGGGCGGCGCACCGAGGAAAAATACTCGACAGGCGAGGGCGCGACGGGCAATGCACGACAACGTCGCCAGGCGAGGACGCGATCCCGCACGCTGAGCAGGTCCAGCCGGCGGCGAGCCCGCAGGTGGTGGAGGTGGAGAGGAAGAAACCCCAGCCGCCGGCGCCCCTTGGAAGCGTTGGGACTACCTTTTTTTGAGCAACTAGCGTTGGGACTACCTTTGTCGACTAGAGGCTCACTACACCGGCTGAGAGAGAGTCTACTTCGTCGATGGGCAACACAAAGAAAAGAGTTTTTAGTGAAACCGGCCCATGAGAAACTAGGCTCTTGATCCAGTCCCGAGTGAGCTTCAATTTTCCCATGGCCAATGCTAGGCGCGGGCGCGCCGGCCCAATCTTTCGGTCGGTCCGCTGCTAGCCATTCGATCTGAAATTCATGAACCGTCACATCTCATGTCCTCTTCCTCTCCTTTCCATGTCCTTCTTCCCAACACGCACAAGCAAATAAAAACACAATGAGCATCATCGATTCCTTGCCACGCGACCTCGAAGCTTCGCTGGTTCCCCAGCGCTCATCGCTCGCTGTCGCCGCTCGTCAGTTGCAGCACAAAAAACAAAGAATACGCCAGTTTTGAAACCAAAAACACATAGTTCCATCAAATAATTAATATGGCTCCAGCAAACAATAATGTGGTTGCAGCAAATATGCTATGATTTCAGCAAAACACATTGATATGGTTCCAGCAAAAAATACACATGATTCCAACAAAAAATTGCTATAGTTCCAGCAAAAAAGTGAAAAGTGGTTCCTCGGGAAAAAAAGTCAATGCAGCAAAAAAATTCATGGCGTCGCCGTTGTATCCGCCCCAGCACCATCCTTGCCGCTTGCAGGAACTCAAAATGTTGGTTCCAGCAAAAAATCTGTGCAACAAAAATCATGGCACCCCGCCACAGTGGTCACTCAGCACTATCCTCCCCTGCTGCAGCAAATCGAGAAAATGGTTCCAACAAAAATTGAAAGTGGTTCCAGTAAAAGTAGAAAAAGAGGGCAACTTACCGCAGCCACCATTGTCACCGCCATCACCATCATCTCCGGTTGAAGCAAATCCTCGCTATCCTGGACTTAACACGACAGATGTCCTAGCAAAAGGACTTAGGTGTGGAGCCATCGCAATTAGGTTAGCTCGAAGGGGTTGAACGGGACAAAAGAAACAAAGAGTTTTACCCAGGTTCGGCCCCTCCCAATGAGGTAAAAGTTTACTCCTGCTTTCGGTTGTATTGCTTGGGTTTCGATTACCAGGGAGCGAATACGCTTGACCTAGTTCTTGATTCACTGTTTCTTGAGTTAACCCACCACCGGGTCACCCCTTTATATACAGGTTGATCCCCGGCGGCTTACAGAGTCTCGGCCGTCTCACACAAATGTGACCGGCTCAGTTTCTAACTAAGCTTACCTTACAGGACAAGTTAAACATACGGCGGCTCGCACCTTTGGGCCTCAAATCACCTCCGGGTCTTGGGCCTTCAACAAGCCTGCTCTACAAACTGAAGGAAATATGCCCTAGAGGCAATAATAAAGTTATTATTTATTTTCTTATATCATGATAAATGTTTATTATTCATGCTAGAATTGTATTAACCGGAAACATAATACATGTGTGAATACATAGACAAACAGAGTGTCACTAGTATGCCTCTACTTGACTAGCTTGTTAATCAAAGATGGTTATGTTTCCTAGCCATGGACAAAGAGTTGTTATTTGATTAACGGGATCACATCATTAGGTGAATGATCTGATTGACATGACCCATTCCATTAGCTTAGCACCCGATCGTTTAGTATGTTGCTATTGCTTTCTTCATGACTTATACATGTTCCTATGACTATGAGATTATGCAACTCCCATTTGCCGGAGGAACACTTTATGTGCTACCAAACGTCACAACGTAACTGGGTGATTATAAAGGTGCTCTACAGGTGTCTCCAAAGGTACATGTTGGGTTGGCGTATTTCGAGATTAGGATTTGTCACTCCGATTGTCGGAGAGGTATCTCTGGGGCCCTCTCGGTAATGCACATCACATAAGCCTTGCAAGCATTGCAACTAATGAGTTAGTTGTGAGATGATGTATTACGAAACGAGTAAAGAGACTTGCCGGTAACGAGATTGAACTAGGTATTGAGATACCGACGATCGAATCTCGGGCAAGTAACATACCGATGACAAAGGGAACAACGTATGTTGTTATGCGGTCTGACCCATAAAAGATCTTCGTAGAATATGTAGGAGCCAATATGAGCATCCAGGTTCCGCTATTGGTTATTGACCGGAGACGTGTCTCGGTCATGTCTACATTGTTCTCGAACCCGTAGGGTCCGCACGATTAAGGTTTCGATGACAGTTATATTATGAGTTTATGCATTTTGATGTACCGAAGTTTGTTCGGAGTCCCGGATGTGATCACGAACATGACGAGGAGTCTCGAAATGGTCGAGACATAAATATTGATATATTGGAAGCCTATATTTGGATATCGGAAGTGTTCCGGGTGAAATCGGGATTTTACCGGAGTACCGGGAGGTTACCGGACCCCCCGGGAGGTATATGGGCCTTAGTGGGCTTTAGTGGAAGAGAGGAGAGGTGGCCAGGGCTGGGCCGCGCGCCCCTCCCCCCTAGTCCGAATAGGACAAGGAGAGGGGGGCAGCGCCCCCCTTCCTTCTCTCTCTCCTCTTTCCCCCTCCTGAATCCTATTCCAACTAGGAAAGGGGGGAATCCTACTCCCGGTGGGAGTAGGACTCCTCCTGGCGCGCCTCCTCCTGTCCGGCCGCACCCCTCCCCCTTGATCCTTTATATAGGGGGGCAGGGGGCACCCCTAGACACACAAGTTGATCCACGTGATCATATTCTTAGCCGTGTGCGGTGCCCCCTTCCACCATAGTCCTCGATAAAATTGTAGCGATGCTTAGGCGAAGCCCTGCGACGGTAGTACATCAAGATCGTCACCACGCCGTCGTGCTGACGGAACTCTTCCCCGACACTTTGCTGGATCGGAGTCCGGGGATCGTCATCGAGCTGAACGTGTGCTAGAACTCGGAGGTGCCGTAGTTTCGGTGCTTGATCGGTCGGGCCGTGAAGACGTACGACTACATCAACCGCGTTGTGTTAACGCTTCCGCTGTTGGTCTACAAGGGTACGTAGATCACACTCTCCCTCTCGTTGCTATGCATCACCATGATCTTGCGTGTGCGTAGGAATTTTTTTGAAATTACTACGTTCCCCAACAGTGGTATCAGAGCCAGGTTTTATGTGTTGATGATTATATGCACGAGTAGAACACAAGTGAGTTGTGGGTGATATAAGTCATACTGCTTACCAGCATGTCATACTTTGGTTCGGCGGTATTGTTGGACGAAGCGGCCCGGACCGACATTACGCGTACGCTTACGCGAGACCGGTTCTCCCGACGTGCTTTGCACAAAGGTGGCTAGCGGGTGACAGTTTCTCCAACTTTAGTTGAACCGAGTGTGGCTACACCCGGTCCTTGCGAAGGTTAAAACAGCACCAACTTGACAAACTATCGTTGTGGTTTTGATGCGTAGGTAAGATTGGTTCTTGCTTAAGCCCATAGCAGCCACGTAAAACTTGCAACAACAAAGTAGAGGACGTCTAACTTGTTTTTGCAGGGCATGTTGTGATGTGATATGGTCAAGACATGATGCTAAATTTTATTGTATGAGATGATCATGTTTTGTAACCGAGTTATCGGCAACTGGCAGGAGCCATATGGTTGTCGCTTTATTGTATGCAATGCAATCGTGCTGTAATGCTTTACTTTATCATTAAGCGGTAGCGATAGTCGTGGAAGCATGAGATTGGCGAGACGACAACGATGCTACGATGGAGATCAAGGTGTCGCGCCAGTGACGATGGTGATCACGACGGTGCTTCAAGGATGGAGATCACAAGCACAAGATGATGATGGTCATATCATATCACTTATATTGATTGCATGTGATGTTTATCTTTTATGCATCTTATCTTGCTTTGATTGACCGTAGCATTATAAGATGATCTCTCATTAATTATCAAGAAGTGTTCTCCCTGAATATGTATCGCTGCGAAAGTTCTTCGTGCTGAGACACCACGTGATGATCGGGTGTGATAGGCTCTACGTTCAAATACAACGGGTGCAAGACAGTTGCACACGCGGAATACTCAGGTTATACTTGACGAGCCAAGCATATACAGATATGGCCTCGGAACACGGAGACCGAAAGGTCGAGCGCAAATCATATAGTAGATATGATCAACATAGTGATGTTCACCAATGAAACTACTCCATCTCATGTGATGATCGGACATGGTTTAGTTAATTTGGATTACGTATTCACTTAGAGGATTAGAGGGATGCCTATCTAAGTGGGAGTTCTTTAAGTAATATGATTAATTGAACCTAAATTTATCATGAACTTAGTACCTGATAGTATCTTGCTTATTTATGTTTGATTGTAGATAGATGACCCGTGCTGTTATTCCGTTGAATTTTAATGCGTTCCTTGAGAAAGCAAAGTTGAAAGATGATGGTAGCAATTACACGGACTGGGTCCGTAACTTGAGGATTATCCTCATTGCTGCACAGAAGAATTACGTCCTG